CACTGGCAGAGTAACACAGCAGCCAGAGGCAGAACACTCTGCATATGGCGTTCACAGGGGCTGTGTGATGAATTGCTGCAGATGTTTTCCAAACACCCTGGCCAAATCTCCAGATTCAAAGCTTTCCCTGTCCTTGAGTCTCACCCCACAGCACAGCTCTCCTTGCTAAAACACTGTTTTCTCCCCAAACCACAGTACCTCACTTCCTTCCACCCACATGGCCAAACAGGATCTCTTGAGAGCCGTACCGGATTTACACAGCCCGGGCAGACATCACCCGCTCCGCGGGCCAAAGCTTTGGCCTCTGCCATTGGCGGGAAGTCTCGCGGGACAGCAGATCCTCCCCACCCTGCCCTCTGCCTGCTCTGTGCTCCAGTGCTGAAGTCACAGCCTCTGGATCAAAGCTCATCCCACCAGCTCGTGGGATTGTGGTCCCAGTGAGGGAGGTGCAGCCCACTTCACGGCCGCATCCAGTCCAAGCCTGAGGTAATCTCTGCCCAAGCAGAGAAACACAGCTGCCAGAGCCCTGGATTCCCCCACATTGGGTTTTCCCCTATCCCAAATGCCAAGCTGGTGTACGGACACTCAAGCCTCAGGACACCATGTTTGGAAAGACCTTCCCTTTTCTTTCTGGATCTTCCCACCTCAGCTATACTCTTTTCCAACTTGGATGCATACTGTAGCCTCATCTGTTTCATGGTTTCACACATGTAAGACTTTCGTCCTCTCCCTTTCATTTAATGAGGGCTGATAAAATGTAACCTCCGGTTCAGGAAGAGGGTGAGGATGCAGAGTAGAGTACTCCCCTATAAGAGTGTCCCTGCTGTCAGCATTTTTCACCTAGCCACTTTTACAAAGCTGATGCTTGTCCTGATTTTATAAACTCATGTAGCCCGTGACCTTGCCATGGCTTAACCCTGGCCAGCAGCTAGAACCACACAGCCACTCGCTCACTCCCCCCAGTTTGGATGGGGGAGAGAATCAGAAGAGTAAAAGTGAGAAAAATTCATTTGGGTTGAGATAAAGACAGTTTAATAGATAAAGCAAAAGCCACACATGCAAGCAAAACAAACCAAGAAATTCATTCACTGCTTCCCATAGGTAGGCAGGTGTTCAGCCATCTCCAGGAAAGCAGGGCTCCACCAAACGCAGCGGTTACTTGGGAAGACAAATGCCACCCCTCCAGATGTCCCCCCCCCCTTCCTTCTTCTTCCCCCAGCTTTATATACTGAGCATGACATCATATGGTATGGAATATCCCTTTGGCCAGTTGGGGTCAGCTGTCCTGGCTGCGTCCCCTCCCAACTCCTTGTGCCCTCCCAGCCCACTCGCTGGTGGGGCGGTGTGAAGAGCAGAAAAGGCCTTGAGAGCTCATCAACAACCAAAATCATCAGTAGGCTATCAAAAGTATTTCTCATCCCCAATTCAAAACATAGCACTATACTATGCTAATAAAATATAAAATTATTAGCATATATGCACTATATATGCTAATAAAAAAGTTAACTCTATCCCAACTGAAACCATGACAGACCTGCAGCTTGGGAATCTGCCCACTGGCTGGCAGGACACAGCACCCACTGGGTGCAAGTGCAAGCGAGACCAACGTGCCCACTGCACAGACTGCACTTCCAGCTGCAACGTGCCACGAGACATCCTCTCTCCAGGACATGTCACATCCCCTTCCCACCCCATCTTGCTGATAGCCATGTGAATTCTGCAGGGATTTTGGCTGCAGCAAGATACAGGGTCTGGGAATCTATTTATAAACTGTATTTCCCACAGATTCATTTCCTGGAGTCTTTACTCCAAAGAAATGACAACAAGAGTTAAAGAAGGATCTTTGGATATTTGTGCATTTTTTCCAGCAGCATAGCAATGTTCTCAGGCTTACATTGGAAGTATTGGGAAGTTTTCCTCTTCTTTGGCTCAAACAAGAATGGTCTGGGATCCAGAGGAGAGTGTGAATCAGTTCCTCAGTCTTCAAGGTATCTCCCCAGAACTTGAAGAGTTTGTACAGGACATTACCCCAGTATATACGGGGAGGATTTTCCTGTGTCAACTCAGCAGATTGCATTAATCTCCACGGCCAGCACACAGGAGGAGCATAGCTGATGGGATATAATAAAGAAAGTGTGGGTAGGTTTATTAGTGATGAAGTTTATCTCCTGCTTCTTTTTTTTCCTCTTAGTGTTCATCAAAGTGTCACGTCTTGAATTTTACCCTAGGGAGTCCTACCATGATGGACTACAGGCTGGATTTTCAAAGAGCTTTAGGCACCCAGCAGGAGATCCAAGTGCCTGGACAACTATTTTTATTAGCCTACAGGTATTTGACACTTGGGCTCTTAGTAAAGAAGAAATATGGATTGCAGAATATCACCTGGCACCTGTCAACCTAAGCAATGAGTGCTGACACTGTAACTTCCCCGACATGTCATCTATGCAAAATGCCTCATCACTGCAGGTACCAAAAATAACTGGTGGCAGAGCTGTGACTACCAGCAGCTGCCACTTGTACATTGCACAGGCATTTCAACCTACATACCTTTTGTAAATAAATCTTTAAGTAGTAATTTCCACCAATTTAACCGTTACTTAGTGTGTGTGTCATGTCATGGTACCCAGCATTTTCCCAGCAAGCAATGTCATGAACTCGAACCATAATTCAGACTCTGTTGATTTAAAACCCAACCCCTCCATCCTGGCACAAATGCCTCCTGTGCCAACTGTGCCAGTAGGTCAGGTCTGTACTGGGTCAGGGCTCATTGCTACGTGAACAGAATATGGGTCTTTGCTGCATTTACCCCTTTGACCATGAGCTGCTGTCAGTGGAAAGAAACAGATACAAATACCTTGGATTTTTTTCCTCAACTGGGTTTGCAAGATAATCCACTGGAAAACCAACCACCCACAAGAGAAGGGTGGAACTGATTTACCCAGCAACTGCCCTGTTGCAAGACCCAACAGAAGGTGAGGCAGTGGGAGCCCATAGCGGAGGTGTGGATGGGAGTGGAGGGGCTGTCCAGTGCAGGGAGGGAGCTCTTACAGCACCCAGGCTGTTTTGTCAAATGTAGGCATGCTTTGAGCCCCAAGCATCAACAGGGGAGTGGGTTTATCTCTGACAGAAAGTTTCTGCTATCCACCTGCTAATTAGCACCTCACCCCAACTCTTGCACCATGGTTTCACTCCACAGCTTAACTGGCGCAGCACTTGCTGCGGTTGGAAGGGGCAGTTACAGTCTTGCTCGCTCCACCTCCCAGTGCGCTGCCCCTCCTAATTTTGTGGTGGCAGTGGCACTCACCTAGCCTTGACCTTGACTTGGAGGCAACATGCAAATGGTCATCTGTCCTTCTTCCTGGCGAGATGCAGATTAACGACACAGGGATTGCATTAAAGCTTTCTTAGCCATTAAAAGGAATCTTACTGTCTGCAAAAGCCAGAGGTTCTGGAGTGGTCACATGCCTGGTTCATCTCAAACACAGTGTGTTTCTTGGGTTTTGGGCATCTTCCTTTTTTAGCACTTCTAAACCACAGAGACTTGATGCAAAAGTTAAGGGCGTCAGGAGCGCTGCTCCAGCGGGCTTCAGGCCTCAGGTGACTTTTCTGTATTACAGCAGTCTGATCCCCTTTTTGGTTGTTTTTACTTGCTTAAATGTCAACAGCATCCAGGTGCCTAAGGAGATCTGTAATTCTCTCAGCGCCCAGGCTGCGTTCATCCAGAGCGCCGGGGGACGCTGGCAGCCACAGCAGCACTCGGCCCTCTGCTGAGTTCAAGTAAAACTGCATCTCCGCGGCCATCCCGATCCAGCAGCAAGCCACCTTTTGCAGAACCACCCTGCAGCAGCATCAGGCTTCGCCCCAGCTGAGACGGACTTTTAAACCTGATCACGAGACAACCAAGGCAATAATTCTGCCAAAAGAAGGCAAATGCAAGATGCTTCACGCACTTGGAGTCAAGATGAAGCAATCTACTCAGCCAAAAACATCTTAGGGACCACTTGTTGTTTTGCTCCAAAGCACAAATTATAGCAAATCTGGATATTCTGAGTCAAGCCCCTATTTGTCCAACAAGGAAATCCAGTGGGAACTTTGCAGAAGGAAAAGGCAGTCGACTCAGAGAAGCAGCTGTCCCAAAGCGAGCCCTTCTTGTCCCAGTGCTGCGCTGCCCGGGGGGACTCGCAGCATTACAGCTGTTGACTTTGCCGATTGAAGTATTTTCTGAGTGTTTGATATTCCTGTTAGCCCTGCTGAGCCCACTTAGCCACAGAAGAGCGGGCTGGACTCTGTCTTGGCTTGCGCCTCGAAAGCGGGATCGTTAACAGTGTTTTGACAGTGAGTTCACACTTATTTGCAAGATACACGCCAGAAAGGGAACAGCCTAATTTTCACATTCTGTTGCAAAGCCCATAGAAAGAAAAATCATTCTTCGCACATGCTAGATGTGCAAATTACACCTGGATGTATGTTGTGATGGTGACTGTGGAAGCCCACAATGTGCTCTGTGAATGATTCCAGGATTTTATTGATATGTTTGTTATGTTTTATAAGGGGTTTTAAAGTCCTGTCTCCATGAGTCACCTGAAATGCTCATCTTTTTCTCTCCAGAAGAGCCTGTGGCCACACAGCTGCAGAGAAATCATGAATATCTCAACCTGAAGATTCAGCCCTCAAAGGTAAAGAATCGTTTCTTTCCTGCTTTCTGAATTTTTCTTATTTTTTTATTCTGCTGTGCAAGGAGGAGGACTGGATTCCTGCTCCTCAGCTGACTGGAACAGCCACCACTGAGTGCCAGCTATGGGCACCCCTGGAGAACTGCACTCCATGGCATACCAATAGCTGTACTCCTGACAGCAGGATGGCTCCCAGCAACATTCAGCTATCAACAGAGATCTTGTTATCAGCTAGGCAGCTTCCACAGGCGCAGAACAAGGCACGGAACAATTCCTCTCTCCATCAAAAAAAAAAACAAAAAAACCCAAATTTGCCTCTTCGCTGACATGGACCAAAGGCAGCGGAAGCAGTTTGCAGAGGCTGTGTCTGTGCTGGGCTGCTGGGCTGTTGGCTGGCCCTTCCGCTCTCCCCGTGCTGGCCCAGCGCGCCGGGGGGGACCCCCACAGGACCCCATCCGTGGGCAGGACGCGGCGTGGGCTGAAGCACCCAAAGGCTGGTAACCCCCACCCTCCGTGGGCCTTGTGCAGGGCCGGGGGGGCTCCAGCTCCCACAGCGACAGTTCACAGGTGGCTCCACACGCAGCCACGGCGAAGGCTGAGGGAAATAAAATCTCATTTATGCTCCGACGCTCAGGAGAGAGGGGATACAAGAAGCTGCTGGGGCGGGTCTGCTCTGTGAGCGCTTTTCTAAACC